TAGTAGATGAGATTTTTCAATCTCTCTCCCACAGGCCCCAGTTTTCTCTGCTTCTCCTTCAAAGAATAGTATACATGTCCCATGTCCCAGCTACTGGGAAGAAGCAGCTTTAGTAACAGCTTTACTTCTGAGAGAGACAAGTGGCTAATTTGGATAATCTTAAAAGATTCATCCTAAATATCAATCCTTATTTGGGAAAAATCTGCCTATATAAATATTTGCTGCCATTTGATAAATAGTGTCTGTTTACATGCACACAGATTAGTAAGAATATCCTTGCTGGCCAGATTCTATGATTATCAGAGTTTTGAAAGGATGAGTAGGATGCTGAAAGATGTTCAAAGGAACATCTTTCCTAGATAAATTCTCAGGCCTATCAAAGCTCATCTAACCCACAGTATAAGTGAAAGTGCTTTGCCAGGTATGATTCATGCTTGTAATCCTAGCTACTCCAAAGATTGAGATCTGAGAATCAAGGTTCAAAGCTAGCCTGTGTAGTAAAGATCATGAGACTCTTATCTCCAATTAACTAGCAAAAAGCCAGAATTGGAGCTATGGCTCAAGTAGTAGAGTGTTAGCCATGAGCAGAAAAGCTTAGGGACAGTACCAAGCCCCCGAGTCCAAGCCCCAGGACTGGCACTGTCTCTTCCAATACCTACCCCAGGAAAAAGAGAAAGTGTTTCATCTGTCTACACAATGAGGGTTAGCATGGTATAGGGAAGAGAGCATTGGTTTGGAAGTCAGGTTTCTATTTAGTCTGCTAATGAGGTCACATAACTTGACAACAGGGGTCTGTGCTTCACTATCTATGAAGGAGAGTTCTGTTTGGTAATCTCTGAGGGACCGGAATCCCTCATTCTGAAGTGGGGACACAGCTTCACTGGAGTTACTACCTGATTGACACCATTGTATTTATTTGTTTATTTACTTATTTTCAGTGCTGGGAAATCAGCTGGGGCTTAGTGCATTCTAGGCAAGTGCTCTATCATTCAGCCACCTCTAGCCAAGAATTGTTTTATAATTGTTCCCTGCTATTTATCATTATTATAATGTCAGTTAAACTCTGAGAGGCAATAAAATACGAATGACACAAAGAAATTAATGACATTGTTCTTCAATAACCAGCCCATATCCAGTTTTAAGTGTTGTTTTGTTGTTTTGGAGACAGGGTTTTGCTACACAGCTCAGACTAGCTTCAAAGTTATAGTCCTCCAGTCTCAGCCTCCTGAGTTCTGGGAATATAGATGTATGGAACCAAGCCTCATGTAAGTGAATTTTTCTTTAAAGAAAAATTTCAGCTGGGAGCTAGTGGCTCACATCTGCAATCCTAGCTGCTCTGAGGCTGAGACCTAAGGATTATGGTTTGAAGCCAGCCAACTGCGTGAAAATCCGTGAGACTCTTATCTCCAATAAACCACCCAGAAAAAGCCAGAAGTGGTGCTGTGGCTCAAGTGGTAGAGCACTAGTCTGGAGCACAGAGAGATTCAGGACAGCATCCAGGCCCTGAGTTTCAGCCCCAGGACCAACAACAACAACAAAATTTCAGAGCAATCATACAGTTCTTTGGTGTCCAGACCATTTTTAGCCAGAACAGAACAGGTGATGGAGTGGCAAGTCACAATAGCTCCTCAACACCTCCTTGAAGCAACGCAAGGTAGCAAAAAGAAATAGAATTTCAAATAAATGGTAGCTGATGATAGAAACAAGATGATAGTTATCCATATGTCAACATTCTATGATATGCTTATTCAGAATGATAATAAAAGATGGCCAAAATTTTGATTTGGATTGATTTATTGTTCAGAAGCTCTTCAACCAACACTTGATAGCCTAATTCAAACTATCACAAGAAGAAGCTATATAGCCATTGGGAGAAGAGGGACTCTTTTTCACTGGCAACCTCTCTCTCTCTCTCTCTCCTCTCTCTTCTTCCCTCCCTCCCTTTCTTCCTCTCCCTCCCCCCTCCCTTTCCCTCCTCCCCCCTCTCTGTTCTTTTTCTTTCCAGGGAATGAGGTCATTGGTAATGGTAAATGGTAAAGGAATGGTAAAATAAGGTATATAAAGGTACTCTGCTCCCCAGTTGTGCAGAACCACCCTTGTTTTGATGGTCTCTCTAAGCCTTGTTTCATAGCCTTGAGGTCATCAGGATCTTGGGGTCATCAAAGATCCGAAGCTATACTTCCTCAAAGCAATTCCTTCACTGCTGCATCTTTCTTTTTATACCAGCTATTACCAGACATTCGAATGCCATTTATCAGCATCATTTCTCTAGTACCTATCAGAGTTCCTGACACATCATAGGTGTTGAATTATGGCCCTCTCTTCATTAAACTTTCCCAAATACTCTGTTGAGTATCTTTTTTCCTTACTGACCATTGCTCTTATTCTCTGGGAACATTTGCATAGTTGTCCACATTTTGTGCACTCCTTTGTAAAGTTTCCTAGTTTTAAATCAACCTTCAGCCCATGAACTCTTTATACTTTTTCTTGTATCCTGTCTTCAAGCATTTGTCCGCCCAGTGCTCCCCACAGAACCTAGCAAAACCTTATGCCTCAGATCTGTGCAGGCTGGTGATGAATGTTTAAGCAGCTACTCATCCATCTTAATGCAGCACTTACACTTCAATTGCCCATCATCTCCTCTTTCAAAGGCAATGATTATTCATTCACAAAGCATTTACTGAGTTTCCACTATGAGCAAGTCACTGCATTAGGTACTCTGGAAGATACACAAAACTGAATACTTCCTCTGATTTCTATGGCAATGATGTACAATTCATAGAGTAATTAATCATACATTGCCTTTTGATGTCTCTCACACTATCTAGAATGCATCCCTTAAATTCTGCTATGCTATTTGACTCTTGTTAATCTCTTCATTCATCCAGCAAATGGTTATGATGTGACAAGCATTATCCCAGTAGCTGGGACATGTAAAAAGATATGTTAAGTTCCTGTCATCAGAAAAGGTCAGACAGTAGTACAGAATAGGAAATAGGAGCAGATCAACAATTATGACATAACATGCCAATGCTATTGGCATCTCAAAGAAGGGCTGCTTGGCTTCCTAAGGGCATTTTATATGCAAGATCTCTTTGTTGAGGTGGCAATTTGGACAGGTTTGGGAAGACAAGAATCAAGTAGATAAGGTAAAGCAAGATATTTGGGAAATACATGAGTCAAGGTAGAGCACAGAGACTGGTGGGAGGTAAAGCTGGAGAAACTGAGGCCTGCGTAAGGTACATGTTAACAGGTTAAGGAAGTCGGCCTTTATCCTTTAGCAAGGAACTCCTCTCCTGATTATATATGCTCACTGTATATACATGCTTACTGTAAAAAAAATCTAAACATTGACAGGTTTGTATGAAGCAGATGTTAACTGCACTGGTATTTTGCATAGTAATCTTTAGGATTTCTACAGGCAAACTAGCATTACCATTCAAAAGGGATGCATTCTCTCTATATTTTTCATGTGAGCATCTCTTGGGTATCATTTCATGTCAGTGCATGTAGATCTATTTCATTTTCAAAATGGCTGCATAGTAGGTAGTCCATTAACAGTATAAAGACTGATTATGGAATCAGGCTTCTTGGGTCTGGTCTTCCACCAAGCCACTTAACCTGTACTCCAGTTACCTCCTCTGTAATATGAACACACAAAAGAAGCTTGTTGCCTGGGGTTTTTGTGAGGAACAAGACAGTCAATACGTGTGAAAGAGTTCAGAATAGTGGCTGGCAGATGAAAACCTGAGTGGTGATTCTATTTCTTTACTCATCATTCAAGAGTGTTTTAACCAAGAGTGGTATCTGTTTTCTTTTTAGAAAGCACTCTGGCACCTTTGGGGACTGATAAAAACAGGAAAGATTGATATTCAGGACCTTGCTGGGGGACTGCGGTGATGTATGGTGAGATTGGCTGTTATTGGCAGAGGAAAGGAAAAAAAAAACTTCCTGGGGCTTTATTTTCTTGGTGGTTCTGGGGGTTGAACTCAGGGCCTCGTGTTGCATTGTGTCACGTGAGACATACCTACAGCCTTTTTCTGCACTGGTTCTTTTCGAGGTAGAGTCTCACTTTACACCCAGGTGGGTTTGAGGCTGCTATTCGACTTTGCTTTCCACAATCTCTAGGGATGCTCAGCACAGTGCCCATGTATTGATTGATATTGGAGTCTCACAAGCCTTTTCTTTTTTTTTTTTTTGCAGAGGCTAGCTTCAAACCACCCTATTTTCAAACCTCCCTCCCATCAGGCTTCAAGGAAAAGCTTGAGGCCACCCAGCCCAGGTTCAAGAACTTTTTTTTTTTTTTTGAGACCAAATGCAAAAAATCTGTGTGTCACTAATGGCTAGGAAGACAATCTCTACAGGTTCCACATTTTTGGTTTGGGGTTGTATAGATGGGGTGCTATATTTCTTCCGTTCATTTGACAAGACATTTTGGGGGGACTAAGTAAACATAGCAACAAGATCTGTGCCCTGGGCAGCTTGCCTCCCAGTGTATCTATGGCTGAGAATACGAGACCAACAAATAACACGTAGACCAATAAATGGACAAATCATTTCAGCCCAGTCCACAGTTTTGGACTGAGTACTCAGCGACTTAACTACGCTTCTCTAACTCGGCACGAGTTTCAGGCTCCCCCCGTAACGATGGTGACGGAGGCAGCAATCCATTCACCGCCGTCCACGTAGGGAGAGAGGCTGGAGAGGCGGCGGGTCAGACACCAGCCCCATGCGGCTCCTGGGAGCGGAGAAGAGCGATGCGCACGGACCACAACACCTGGAGGCGGCCGCGACTCCGAGGTCCCGGCCTGGCCCCCGCGAGGAGCCTGAGGCCCAGGGGCCGCAGACCCCCGAAGCGCAGCCGGCGCGACAGCCGGCGCGCACACACCCGCCGTCGACCGGCGGCAGTTGCGGCCCGCGTCACGAGGCACTTCCGGCGTGCGTCGGGGCGGCCGGATGACGTGGCTGAGTCAGAGGAAGAGGCTGGTGGGCCGGGGGGGCGGGGGAGGCTCGGGGCGGCGGTGACGGCGACGACGGCGGCAGCGGCGGCAGAGGAGGAGGCAGCGGCTGGGCCCGAGCCCCGTGCGTCTGTCCGCGTCCCGTGGATGCGAATCGGCCGCGGCGGAGGCGGAGTCGGTGGGCCGGCGCCGGGCCTGTGGGAGCGCGGAGGATGAGGCCGCTGCCGGGTGCTCCTGGCGTGGCGGCGGCCGCCGCGCTGTTGCTGCTGTTGCTGCCCCGGGCCCGAGCGGACGAGCACGAACACACGGTGAGGCGTCTCCGGCCCGTTCCCTGGCCGCCGCCCCGGTCGGCCCGCTGCAGCCCGGAGGCCTGCCCGTGGTCTTCTTCCGGTCGGGCCTGGCGGAGCAGGAACCGCGGGAGCTGGGAGGAGGCATTTCCGTGCGCTTTGGGGCAGGCCTCCCTCCGCGGCCCGGCGGCCCTCGGAGCCCTGGCCTCGGGTCCTGCCACGCCCCGGGGGCTGGGAGCTGGGATGGGGTGGGAGTGTGAGGAGACTCGGGTAGGACTGTTCCGGGCCTGGGGCCCGTGTCCCCGGGGAAGCGGTCGCTGTCGGGCTTCTGGGGCGAACGACACAGCAGAAGATGGATGCATCGCGGCCATCCGTCACTCGCCAACCAGGAAATACCCGCCACTTTACGGTCCGCGCCGATCTTTATTTACCCGTCTCCTCGCTGCCCAAACCGGATTAAAGCCGCCGTGTTCCTGACCCCGGGGAGACCAGTTACACGTGTGCAGGCTGCGAGCCTAAACGCATCTCTTCGCGAGGTCCTCCGTGTAACTTTGTCCTCATCCTTCCAGGCCCCCGGGTGATTTTCCACCTCGAGAGGGGGTATCATTAATGCAGCTTAGGATCCCAAAAGGTGTGGGTTGGGGGAAGGGGGGAGGAGTGTCAGGCCAGGCCTCGGCCTCTTCTCTTTTTGCAAGTGGTCTGAAGTTGATTGGCGGTTTATTTAATTGCATTTTCACATCAAAGCGTGGATGTTAACTACTCCTGGAGTGGTTTTCATTTAGAACTGTAACTCCACGGTTTCACCTTAATCGACTCGAGGAAGTCTGGATAGTCAAGCGGAATTAAGAAGGGTGCTTGGGGAATGATCCTTATTTTTTATTTTTTATGCCTTTACTTATCACTAGGGTTTTGTCTAGTTGTGTATGTACCAAGTCGGAAAGATTTGTTGAGATCTGTGTTTTAAGAACTGAGACAATCCCATATCTACTTAGTGGGTCTGGTTTTAGGTTTTATTTGTTATTAATACAACTTTATTCTGTTCCCTGGGTTAGTTGGACACTTACGTAAGCTAATAACTCTTAAACTTTTGAACAGTTTGCTTTCAGTCACTTCCAGAATTTTCTTGTCTGTAAAGCTGTACTTTTTATTCCCTTAAGACACAAATAGTGAATTGATAACATGTTCTGTGTTAAACTTGTGTCTTCAACCTTAAAATAATTTTGTTCAGAGGTTAAGTAGTCTTTGTTATTGTTTTTGTTTCCTGTCAGGTAACTTGTCTTTAGGTGTAAGATGGCCATAGGGTATACAGGAATATGTATGGATTGGGGTCATTACTTTCCAGTTTCCAATGGGTATCCTCTCAGTCAATGGTATTATTACTAATACTTTTTCTGATTTTTTTTTTTTTTTTTTTTTTGGGTCCGGTCGTGGGGCCTGAACTCTGGGCCTGGGCGCTGTCCCTCAGCTCCTCAGCTCTTCAGCTCAAGGCTAGCGCTCTACCACTTGAGCCACAGCGCCACTTCCCGCTTTTTTTCTTATGTGGTGCTGAGGAACCGAACCCAGGGCCTCATGCATGCAAGGCAAGCTCTCTACCACTGAGCCACCTTCCCAGCCCTCTGATTTTTTTTTTGTTTAACTTTGGAGAAGTTACTTTGTAAAATTCTGATCTTTCGTTTACCTATAGTTCCACTGTCTAGACATTCAAACTCAAGATATTCTTTATTGTGTTTTATACTCTTTCAAGTAGAGTTGACTATTTACATGAAATTCAATAAATCTAAAATATAAACACCAACTTTAATGAAACTTTATTGTTATGAAAGTCATTTTATCTTATTTTGTTTTGGGAATGCAACCCAGGTCTTCACAAACTGGACAAGCACCATACCACACTGGGAGCTACATGCACACTCAATGCCTCAAAGATATTAGTATTATTTGTTGGTCCTGGGCTTGAACTCAGAGTCTGGGTGCTGTTCCTGAGCTTTTTTGCTCAAGGCACCACAGCTCCACTTCCAGTTTTTAGGTGGCTAATTGGAGATCAGAGTCTCATTGCCTTTCCTGCCTGGTCTGGCTTCCAAAGATGATCCTCAGATGTCAGCTTCCTGAGTAACTAGGATTACAGGTGTGAGCCACCAGCACCTGGCTCCAAAAGATTATTAGATGTCAGAAAAGAAAATGTGCCATATATGTGGTGATTTCTGGACAAAAATTTAGAATCCATAATTATTTTGTTGCATGTCTGTGTTGATCTGCTTTCATGTGATTATCCTTTACTAATTAAGCAAGACTTATAGGAAGAATAACATTGATATGTATGAAGTTCAAATGAGTTTCATTTGTATTGTCTTTTGCTATTCACAGTCTTTTCCTTTTTCTAAGTTTTCTTGAAAATATTTTTTGAAAACTAGACATTCATCTTTGTCAAGGAACTACTAGAAGAGTAGTGAATGGTCAGGTGAATTCTTTTTTTTTTTTTTTTAAACATCAACAAGGCAGAAGTAACTAGTGAAGAAAGAATGATGGAGTAGGAGACAAATTGCCAAGGGAATGTTGCAGAGTGGGTGTTTAATAAATACTTGTAAATTGAATTATTAAAGAACAGCTTTCAGAAGCCAAAGCTTGTCCTTTAGATTCGCTTTCTGTGAAGATCATTTCTAGATAGAAATAATAAGTAGAATGGTTTATAGCAATATATGCTGGGGCACAGTTATAAGTGCTTTGTACATCTTAACGCACATTAAATGTATATTGATGACCTTGTATAGAGGGGTTAGGATGTAGCTTAGTTGCAGAGTGCTTGCTTACCATATATAAGGCTCAGAGTTTGAGCCCCAGTATTGCAGTAAGGTCAATTAACTAATAATATTGTGATATAAATAGTATTCTTTTTGTATGTGGTAAACTGGCCAGAGAGGTTGTCACTTGCATGAGGCCATACACAATAGATATATAAAAGTAGGTATAGGGGTGGCCTTTGGCAGAGTTAATAGTCTTCAGTCAAACTCAGCCTAGTCGAACTCCTCTCTCTTAAAAATAGATGTATAAAATAGTATCAGAATGAGTATTCATTGTTAGAATTTTCAAGTGGTTAAAGATACCTCTGATCTGGTTGGGTAGGTAGGTGTCCTCTTCCTCCCTCAGCAGTATATGTGTGTGTCCTCCCTTGAAGAAGCTGTGTACTTAAGAAAGGATGAGAATCTTCCTCAGTAGTGTAGGGCGGGCCATTATTGAGTCAAGGGCATATAAGTAGCTAAACTCTTTTGCCAGACCTTCCAAATAAGCTCCATTCTGGGTTTGGGTTTGCATTAAAGATGGATAGGCCCTCATAGATGGGCCACAAAGTATATTTGACCTGAACTCACAATGCTCTGCTGTTACTTTAATTCTTAAAAACATTATCTCCAATTAAAATATTGAAAAAAATTACCTTCAAATAAAAATTATGTACAGTTATCTTAATTTTTTTTTGTTGGTTGTGGGGTTTGAACTTTGGGCCTGGGCACTGTCCCTCAGCTCTTCAGTTCAAGGGGAACATCCCACCATTTGAGCCGCAGCGCCACTTCTGATTTTCTGGTAGTTAATTGGAGATCAGTGTCTCACTTTCCTGCCCAGGCTAGCTTTGAACATCGATCCTCAGCTCTCAGCCTCCTGAATAGCTAGGATTACAGGCATGAGATACCGTTGCCCTGCTGTTAGTTATTTTAATTCTTGAACAAGGAGTCCTGCCTTTTTTTTTTTTTTTTTTTTAAATTGATAGGGTCTCCATGTTGTCCAGGCTGGCTGCATTAAAAAAAAAAAAAAAAAATCATGTTACTCAGGGTCTTACCCCTTAAGGCCTAGCCTTAAGAGTCCTAGCCTCAAATTACTGACTGAGCTCAAATAATAGTTCTGCATAGCCAGTACTACAAGTGTGTGCTACTATCTTGCACTATAATTTTTATTTTGTATTGGGCTCCACAAATTATCTGGTCCTAAGAATGTGTAGTTACTATCTACCATTCCAGAACCCCCCACCCCCTTTTTCTCCCTTTTTTCTCTACCTACTGAATTAGGCATCAGTTAACTATATGACCCATATAGTATTCTTTATATGCTCATTCTGGTATGATTCTCAATAGATATCTAGAGAATTATATACACACCTAATATATGTGTGTGTGCTTTTAATTTATAAAATTGAATTGTGGATTATAGGACATTGCTTATTAAGACTAGAGGATATTTTTATTCACGAAGGTTTTAAAGTAATTGAATGTTCATGAAAAGATCTTTTTAGGCAATTGAAAGGTGTCTAGTGTGTGATTTGTGTCTGATCAAATCACAAGGACACATCTAGAGTTAAATTATCATGCCTTCTAAGATCCAAAGGACTCCATTCAAAAGTACTTCAGCAGTGTCTAACAACTGTAATCCTAGCTACTCAAGAGGTTGAGATCTGAGGATGTGGTTCAAAGCTAGTCCGGACAGGAACGTTTATGAGACTCATCTCCAGTTAACCACCAAAGGCCAGAAGTGGAGTTGTGGCTCAAGTGGTAGAGTGAGTAAAAAAGCTCAAGGACAACTCCCAGATACTGAGTTCAAGCCCCAGGACAAGCACATGTACACATATTGAGAAGCATGGATTTTTAGAAGTAGGGAGTTTTAAGTGATAGAAATGGGTCAGGATGTTGAGGTGTCATGTAGGCGTAAGAACTCCAACTCAAAAACAAGGCAGTTTACTTCATCAGGAGGGTGTGCCACCAACCAAAAAATCAAGCACAGAAAGTGCATGGGCTGCTCCCTTTTTATTCCCAACACAGCAAGCCCTGCCCCTGTGCTCAAATTGGTGGAGTTGAAGTTCACAGTCTGTTCATTAGGCTATTTTGAAGAGGGTAGGATGTCTTAATTACTCATACCCTTTGCAGATTGAACAACCTGAGATGTCCCTTAATTATACCCTCTGATACTTTCTTTACTTGCTGATACTGTCTTAGCAAGACCCAAGCTACTATGCTTGGAAATGCCATAATTTGGTGTCC